CACTCCCCAACCATCACATGGTCTCTTTTAGCAGCACTCATCAGCCCTCCCCATTTCCCCAGTGTCTTGTCTCTTAGCCTTTCTGCTGACTTCCAGTCCATAAGCATTGATAACATCGCATCTCCTCTCAGACCTCTGTTCCAATGATATGGTTGTTGAGTCTCTCCATGCTTCACTCTCCTCCACCTGTGACTCCTTTGCCCTTCTCTCCCACAGTCAGGTCCACCGTGGCTCACCCCCTACCTCAGCTTCCTCTGCTGTTGCTCTTTCACTGTGGAGCATCTCTGGTGGAAATCCTGTGACCTCCACTACAAATTTGTTCTTTCCTCCTTCAGTTCTGCCATCTTCCTTGCTAACCAACTCTACTTCTCCAACTTAATTGAATCCCCTGCGCACAATCCTAACACCTTTTCTCTGCCTTGATTCAATTCTCAATCCCTCCCCTCCTGGGAGAGAACTTGAAAATAGTATTACATGCCTAAATTCCAGTTTTTATGCATGCATCTGACAAGCACGTTTTCAATGTCACCTCTGATGTATTGTTTTCTTCATTTGCACTGTACCATGCCATTGTCTTAGAATGTAAGGACTTCAAGGCATGGGTATATGTTTAGCGCAGTCCTATTGCACAATTCCATGTGCATCTAGAATGCCATAATCAGTAATAATAATTACCGGTATACTGTCATCCTGCAGTGAAGTTTGCAGAAGGCTGACAGATGTCCTGCAAAACTCCCCTAAATTCACCTGGTGCGTTATATGTGGGACCACACAGAATGCAAACTGCAGATCCTGGGTACTCATGGGAAAAGGAAGTTGGAGCCCCACTGAGAGCTGATCCCTCCATGGTGATGACTGGATCCCTTCTCCTTCATGGCAGCATAGCTTCTCTAAGTTGCCAGTGGATCCTCTGTCCATAGCTGGTTAAACAGTTCCTTTTGCTTAGGGGGCTGAAGGCACAAAATAAGAGTTAATGTTGTTTGAAGCAGCATTAACTCGTGCAGATATATGAGTAGATATCTATACAGATTAAGGGAACATGACACACAGAGTAGCTGCTTCTCGGGCACACTGCCTCCTAAAATAGCGACAAATATCACTTCTTTAAAGTCTGATAACTCAAGACTTTCTAGGACCAGAAGCAAATGCTATGTGTCCCTCTGGAAAACTAAGAAGCCTCTCTTTCCAATGGTATAAATCTTCCAATTCTCCCTCTACAAAGTACAGAATCTTAAACCTAACACTGATCCAGGACTCAGTATTGCTCATCCTAGGGGTGAGGCCCAAGCATTTTTGGGTGAATCTCCATATGTTTTTGGGAAAGGAAGAATCTTTTCTCATGGCAAATTGATTTTTTTATGATGGTGGTCATAAGAAGTTGCTCAGAATTTGATATGTGAGAAATAAGGCAGGGGATGAACTGGTGGGCAAAGTGGAGGTGAAGCAGTAAAAGGTGCATGATACATGTACTGCATCTCAAAAATATCACATTGATGTGGAACATATGGGAAGTTTATATGGTGGTGCAACAGGGTGCCAGGAACTACATCCTGCATGGAGATGCAAGACTGTGTTGATCCACTCTGTTAGCAGTTAAAATCCTGTAGAAAGCTGAGAAGTAACTTCTGATGACTCATTGTGGCAGATGCAACCTTTTAACTCCACCAGGATATAAGAGAGGTAGGCGTGAAACTCTGGTTAAAAGGAACTAGGGATAGAGACATTTCCACATGGATGTCTTGGGGATAAAAGTGTAGGCTTTTAATATTGCTTGAGGTATCAATAAAGGCAAACTTTTGTGAGGGGGTGCATTTGACATTATGCATCGTGTATAGATTTTGTGTGGTGCCAGGCTGGAACACCACTTACTTACAGAGGGGTATAATATTTGGGATGTCCTGCATAATTCATGTGTGGCTTTGATATTTATGAGTAATTCAGACATCAAAGCCTCAAGTTAGATAAAACCTTTATGCCACAAAACTTCTATATCCCATATGTGTGTATGTGCATCTCTCCTTCTCTTAACTATGGTGCTGCTATTCATGTGATAACCTTGTAGCCATTTCACCTGCACTCTGCCCACTAATCCATCTCTGCTGCTGACATTACAAACTTCTGAACAGCTTTCAAACACCCACCTAATGCTGGTGTAGATTGTATTATGGTAGCACCCAGAGGCCCAACTCAGGGACCAAAATCCATTATATGAGGTATAGGAGACATAGGTTATAAAAAAAATCTCTCCCCACGATGAAAGACAACAGGTGTGTCATTGTGGAAAGATAACAAAACAGTGAAACAGGCATGATTAGCACAAAAAGCAGCAGGCCTAGCCAATATCAAGTGTTTTTGGCAGAGATGAATTTTAAGGAGAGATTTTAAGGAAAACACTCATAAAATCATAAGGCTGGAGATCAAGAGATCATCAAGTCCAGTCTCCTGAACCGAGGCAGGACCAGGTTAACCTAGACCATCCCTGACATGTGTTTGTCCAACCTTTTTTAAAAAGCTTTAATGATGGGGATTCCACAACCTCCCTTAGAAGCCTATTCCAGAAAGTAACTACCCTTACAGTCAGAAAGTTTTCCCTAATATCTAACCTAAATCTCCCTTGCTGTAGACTAAGCCCATTGCTTCTGTCAGAACCTCAGTGGACATGGAGAACTGTCCTCTCTATAATAGCCATTAACATATTTGAAGACTGTTATGTAGTGGCTTTTGGGATATTACTGGGAAGCTTTTTCCATACGTAATGGGTGACATGAGAGAGCATGAAATTGCTTGTTAGAAAATTGGACTAATGGGCAATGAAAGTTTGCATTGTTGACACAGCAATGGTAATATAACAAAGTGATCTGAGCGTCTGATATGTGGTTGTTTACCAGGGCTAGAAACAGGTGGGAAGGTGGCTCCCAGCTCCTCTCCAGGAACATAAAGTACAAATTTCTAGTCCCATTATACAGTGAGATATTGGATTTTAAATCTGTCGCTAGTCCAAAACTGAATATTGTCCATTCTGTTCTTCAAACTGTTGTAGCTGGGAAAGGTGAGATGGTTCACACCAGCTCCTTGATAGCCACCCACATAAAAGAACCACCAAATATATTATTTTTCATCTGCTTGCAAAATTCTTCCTCTCAAAGACCAGTCTCCAGCCTCCACCACTAACCTCTTTGGGCCCTGCCCCATCAGAGGGTCATGTCATTGATATAATGACATGACCTTGATATAAAATAATCTTTCTGGCAAATCAACAGACCCTTCTGGCGACTTCCTTCTCATTGCTGTGATATGGCTGGTGACAAATAAATAAAAACCCACCAGATTTACTAGTAACCTTTCGCCCCCCGCCCCCCCCCAACAGATTGTTGCGGTGCATTGCGTTATTGTTGCTAGGACAATACTGATTTGTAAACTATTTGGGTTTCCAGCAGAGTAGTTTACTTTAAAATTGCATTGGACTGTAGTTTGCTCGCAGAAACCCGTCGAAAAGTCCGGTTCACAGAAAAGTGATTTCATTATGAAGCATTAAGGGAGTCGGCTGCTGCAGGAGACTTTGGAAGCAGCACGGGGACACTGTCCAGATTCTCCACTTCATGCTCGCGAGCCTTAAAAGCCGTTTATAATCCCACGCTCTTATCCTGATTCTGAACTGCAGGAGTCTACAGCTTCCTCCGAGCAAAGAGCCAGGCTCTCCCTAGCGTGTGAGTACCGTAGATCACAGTAGAAAAGAAAGGCAGGGTAGAGCTGTCCCAAAAGTGCCCCCTCCGGTGCGAGTTGGACTACTCCTGGCTGCGGCGGCTCCCCAGCGCCCCTCACCTCCCATGAGCTGTGTGGTGCGACAGCGCTGAAATGGGGTCAGGCTCCAGCGAAGGAAAACTTCCACGTGGTAAAGCTGAAGAATAATGGGGCTCCAATAAAAGTGTTTCACAAACTTCCAGGCGACCGATCGAATTTCCACGCTGTGCTTCATGGGGACAGGTGGCTGGCATCCAATGTACCTGACATACAATTGTCAGTGTAACCAGCAATGATTTGCTCTGACACAGAGGCTGGTATTTCTATCTACATTCGCAAGAGCGGGGTTGATTTCCAGACCGTCAGTGACCTCTAAGTCCCCTATCGCAAATAACACCGGGAATGTCAGAATCCACCTTCAGAGTAGTTTTCCAGTTACAATGATAATGCTTTTTATCCAATGCTATGGTGGACCTGACTCTGCAGGGATCTCCAAAGAGATCCTGCTTCCAGCAGCAGTGTGGCTTTACACATTAAGCACGTGTTTCATTTATACCATAAAGTTTCTGGGCATTTATTTAATCATGTGCATGCATACGTTGCCGCAGAGCAGTCAGAGAGCTACTTTAAGTAGTGAATAGAGCTGGAGCCGTATCTGTATTGCAGCAGGTAGAGCTGAGCGCTAGGACCTCGGAGAATCCTCCCAGTAGCAATCAGGACTACCTTAAACCCAGCCCAATGCCTCTTCCTGCGCCACTCTGCGTGCTGGATGGAGATCCACAGTCAAGAGCTGCAGCTCAGTGCTGGAGTACAACATTTCACAGGGAGCCCTGCAGAAGCAACACCTGTTTCGAGCCAGCCAAGAAAGACACAAGCACTTGTACGTTTCTGCTTTGCTTGTGGATCGTCAATAATTCTAAACCAGCGGACATCTGCTGAGCCTCCTGAGAATTCTGGATAATAGATCTGGACGTCAAAAGTTTTTTTCTTTTTTTTCTTTTTCGGATTTATCTCCGCCAGCAACGTGAGATTCCCCCGCCCCCTTGCAGGATTCATGCTGATGTATGCAGTCTGTTATAGAGTAAAAACAGCGCATGCCTTTCTGGAGTCAGAATCCATAAATCCTGACGTAGCCTGTGCATCTTAAAAAAAATCCCTATAACGCCTAGGTATTTAAGTTGCTATGGTCATTCTTATCTTAAACCAAATGGAGAAACTACGGATTTTTTTCCTTATTACAGTTGGATGGGCTGAAGACCTTACTGCTTGCTAAGAGCTGGGGATATATATACATATATATAGATATACACATATATATGTTTATAAATATGTCAGTGTGTGAGTATAAAGTGGTGGTTTCTTAGACTAACAGGGGTTTGACCTTGACCCTGTACCAGTCAAAACAGAATATTACTTTTATTTATGCATTTAATGGATTGAAGAAAGAACATTTTCTCTGTAACTGCAATAGGGAGGGGAAGTGGAGTGGATATACCCAATCTTATATCTCCTGGGTTTGGCACCATTATTGTTTATTCTTGTTCTCTAAAAACAGAATCTTCTGATGGCTCCCTTAGGTGAAGTTGGGAACTATTTCGGTGTGCAGGATGCAGTACCCTTTGGGAATGTGCCCGTTTTGCCGGTGGATAGTCCGGGTTTGTTAAGTGACCACCTGGGTCAGTCTGAGGCAGGTGGGCTACCCAGGGGGCCTGCAGTCACGGACTTGGACCATTTAAAGGGGATCCTCAGGCGGAGGCAGCTATACTGCAGGACTGGATTTCATTTAGAAATCTTCCCCAATGGTACTATCCAGGGAACCAGGCAAGACCACAGCAGATTTGGTAGGTATTATCATTAACCCTTTAGTGGTCATGTGATGAAATACTGTGATAGAACTAATAAAAAGACGGGGGGAAACGAGACGGGAGGAGAATGATTTATTGTTATGACGGGCCAGCTAAAGAAATGTGTACGGAAATGCAGATACGCGGGTGGCACAACTGCAGCAGCCAAAGCAGCGGCACTTGCAGTATTTTTAGTAGTAATATTTTCTAGCTCTAAGTTATGCCTAAGGGTAGAGAGAGATATTGGGAGTTTTTGTTAATTGTTCAGGACGCTTCTACTGAATGGGCTGATTTCGGGAGTTTAAAGGGTTTTTAATCAGTAACTACTACAATTTAAAATCCACTGAGTTTCCTGAAGGGAGTGGCTCTCAGTCTGTAGCCACTTTTATGGAAGGATTTTTAAAAAATCTTAATAAGTTAACTACCTGAATTATAAACTGATCGTCTTGATTTTCAGTGAGGGATCCACCGGCAGACCCTCCCTGTCCGCACAAGATCTCTCTCTGAATGATCTCTGCGTGCATAAAACAAGATCTTAGTCATGAAATAAGAATAATGACAATACATTGTAGGAGGTAGGAATTATAGGGCGCGCAGGTATCCAGTTAAGACCGGTGCTTGTCATTTTCCATAAGCATGCAGCAAAATGTGGGCTCTCTGAGCTATGTGTGTAAAGCTGGGAGCTAATTTTAAAGAGCATTCCGTGGATTTCATTTCCAGAGGTCGCTATTTGTGACTCAGCATTGAGAACTGGAGGGCTTATGCTTTCATCCACTTTTAAGAGCCTGTGCGCGCACACGTAGGCAAATAGGCCTGGAGCTACCCTCCTGGCAGTGTAATTTTAAAGACTCTATTGGGTGCATATATAAAAGTAGCCGAGTCACTTTGGATGGAGTGACTTATTGGTTTTTAAGGAGGGTGGTGCCTTCGTAGCTACCCAGTCTTCCAGGCTGTTGGAAGGAGTTAACTTGTGAGTGAACCCACCTGACAGCACTTAAATTAGGTCGTAAAAACAAAGTCCTGGGGTGGGTTTTTTTTTCTCCTCTTCATGTTTTAATGCCAGATGTTGAACAAGATCTAAATTGTATTTTATTGCTTTGTGGGTCTGTTTAGATAATACCAGTGTTGTAAGGGATGATCTCCAAAGGTATTCGAGGGAGGGCGGAGAGGATTAAAACGTGCACAGTCACCGTATAGCAGCCGGTGTCAGACTTTTCTGTCTGATAATTTAACGTTGTTTCCGAACACTCTCCTTCAGTCACACACAGCAGCACACCGCTCTCAGAGCTCGCAGCAGCAGCTAACAGGGAAACTGGCAGGGCTTTCCCTGCTTTAGGATTGTTTTGCTAAACGATTTGCAATTTTATACACAAACACACGTACAGAGGAAGTAACACCCGTTGTCTGGCCGAAACTAGGATGAAGACAATAAAATAATACGGGCAATGCAGCTGGGCTTTCCAGCCTAGCCGAAACTCTGGACGAAAGTTGAGAGAGGGCTTGACAGTAAGAGCTGCCTGATTGTTGCACTCTCCCCGGCTCCCCGCCCTTGCCGTGGGCGCGCACACACACAGGTTAGCTAAAGACCCCGGGAGCAGGCTGTGTGTTCCCGGACGGAGCTGAGCTGGCGCCTTTGCAGAGCACGGGGAAGCACTCTGCCAGAGAGCGGCAGCAGGCGGCTCGGGTGTGTTCCGAGGCGAGCTGGGCTCACGCCGCTAGCAGGTGTACGGCGGCCGCGCGGCGGCGGCTGCTATTTCGCGCGTCTGCCTGGGCCGTAGCAGGAGGGACTCTGCAGGGTCCTACACCCCTCCGGGTTCCCCCGTTCCGAGGGGCGCTGCCAGCTGGTCCTGCCCAGCGCGCCGCCGGGGACCGCGTTGTTCGAAGCCTGTTTTCTTGCCCGGCGCTCGGGTTTGCCGCCGTAGTGCTGGGGAGCGAACCCGAGCCGTTGCGAGGGGGCCGCTGCTCTGCTCTAGCACTGCGGCGGGGCTTCGGCGGAGGAGCTCTTTGCCTTCCCGGCAGTTTGCCGAAGCAAAGCGCGGGGCCGGTCTCCTGCCCGTTTGCAGGCAGGGCTGTGGGGGTTTGCAAAGGAGGGTCCCGGGGTGGAGGCGCTGGGAGGAGGTCCTGGTTTGACTTATGGTGGGGCGGTGTTATCTCCTTGCAGGTGTACCAGGGCTGGATGGCATCCCCGGTGCCCAGGCGGGCGGGCGCTTAGTAAATGTTGCTGACTTTAAGTCTCCTTTCCATCTTCTAGGTCAGGGACGTCCTATGCCGCACGTACAGCCAGGTCCTTCCTGTCCCAGAGCTAGCGGGACCCCACTGGGGCAGCCGTGGGGTGAGGGCTGGCAGCGGGGGTTGCGGGGCCGAGCCAGGAAGTTCCTCAGGAAAAGGGAGGACAAAGGGGACCAGAGGCTGTTTGTGACCCCCCCCCCCGTGCGCTCTGGGAGCCCCGCTTTGCCCCAGAGGAGCCCTCAGCTAAAAAGTCGACTTTGGGATGCAATTTTGGAGGCGTGCCATGAATCCAGCTCGCCTGTGTTCTGGGAGCCTTAATAGTTTGTATTTTTACAGCCAAACGTACACCTTAAAAAATCGCGCAGGGACAGCAGAATTAGCTCCCCCCATGCCATCCCATGTGATCAAAGCCTTATCTCTCTGGGGTGACAAAGGATTTTTTTGATGCAGTCTCCTTTGGTCTAGGGCATTTGGTAGACAGTGGAGTCATTGTAAATTCAGTAACTCCGGGACAGTGAGAGGCGTGCCCTCTGCGTCAGCACCGCACTGCATGCACAGCATTAAAAACCCAGGAATATGCAGGGGGGCGGGGGGGGGGGGAAGATGCTGAGAGGTGACCTCCGCTTCGGGACCCGCAGCCACAAAGAAGCGCAGCAATCAGCATCTGTACCAGCAACAAGGGAAGGAGGAAGCTCCTGCAAACCACCCACTCGACTGTCTATATAAGTCACCCGTGACCGCTGCGAGCCTGCGACTGTGTTAGGCTTGGGATCCGAGTTTTGTTCAGGAGAAAGGTGTGTGTGGGCGCAGTGTGTTTTATGGAGCTACTGCGGGACCAGCCAGAGTTGAGCCTGTGGGAGACAGGGGGCAGGCTGAGGTGCTCGCCAAGGCGGGGAACAATAAATCTAGCGGGGTTTCTTCCCCTTGTGGAGGCCAGTGATCCACAGGGTGCTGCATGGCCTGACCTAGAGCATCTCTGCAGCAATCCTTGGGCAGTGGCTGCAGTGTATGTGACTAACATCCTTTCCCCTGCTGCCCGCCCGGCTGAAGGGGGGGAGGGGGTGCAGACAATAGCTCCAGAAACAGGAGTGGAAGCAGCAGCAGCAGAAACAGCTTCTGGCACTTTTCCCTTCCTCCTTCTGGTGCTGTGTATATGTGATCTCGTCTCTCTCTCTTTTTTTTTACCCCCTCCACTCACTTCTTGGAAGGGACTGGGTTGGGGAGAGGGCTGGCATTGTAAAAAAAAAATGCAGGTAGCTAGCTCTATCCTTTAGTCTTAGAATCATAGAACCATATGGTTAGAAGGGACTGCAAGGGTCATCTAGTCTAACCTCCTCCAAGATGCAGGAATTGTTATGTCTAAATCATCCAAGACAGGTGGCTATCCAGTCTTTGCACAAGGAAAACTCTCACTGAGTTCAGGGGTGTCTAGCCTGAGTAAGGACTACATTCCAGGGGCCTGGATGAGAAATAAAGGATACCAGAGAGAGGAAAGGAAGCCTGCAAGAAAAAATGTTCCCATTTTCTCTCTTCCCCTCCTCCATTAGTGACTGCTGCTCTGTGTGTGTGGTGGCGATGATGCAGCAGCACCACCCCCAGAAACGTTGTAACACCTCTGGATGCAGTAACTACAACAAAACATAGCATCCTTGGAACTGCAGCTGAGTTGCGGTTGCCACTGACCAATACAACCAGCAATTTTGCCAGCTATTTTAAGTTATCTAGGGTCAACATGCTCTGTCAAAGCCTGAGGGGCCCTCCTGCCTCTCGGGGAGTTGTAGCTGCTCTCTGGTGTTTTAATTGGCCTACTGTGGCCATGTAGGAAAAGAGAGGTGACAGCTGTGACTGGCAGGCAGTACTTCCCAGCTGAAATGTTTGTTCCAGCTGAGTGCCAAAATCGGAGCTTTCCAAAAGCAGACAGTAGGTGTCCAGAAAGAAGCTGCAGCAGCAGGGCTGCTCCAGTGATCTGTAGGGATTAGGGGAAAGCCTGGGAAATCCCGCCCCCCCTTCTCTTTCCTGTATTCCCCTTCCCATTTTGAGCTATCTGTTTCATGAGTCTGAACTTCAGTAACTTCATAGCCAGGGAGTATATCTTTTTTCCTCCTCTCTATTTTTTCTGTGGAAGCATTATCACCTGCTAAATATACTAGAGCACAGTGCTATTTACCTAGCTCTTTGGCTCCAGGTCCTTTGTGGCTTCCCTCCTCTCTGCTGGGCACCTCATTACCTCCTCTCTGGAAATTTCACAAATAACTCGCTGATGGCAATGATGCTTATTTAGTGTATTGGTGATTTATGACATTTTAGGGTGTTAAGTGGAAGCCACATGTGCCTCAGTCCTGCAATATGAAAAATAAATAACTATATTGAGTGAAAAACAGAAATGTACAAAGGGTGGGACAAACACAGTCCCTAGCTGAAAGGTGGTATTCGTTATTTAAGGCCAAAGAAAATACATTCGTAGTTCCAGTCTTTACTATTGTGTATTAGACTAGATAAAAGTTGTACCCACTCACCTCCCATGACATTGGTAGGAATATAGGAATTGCTCTACATGGTCAGACAAATGGTCTATCTAGTCCAGTATCTCTAACATGGTCTAGTATTAGATCGTTTAGAGGAAGGTGCAAGAAATACCGATGCAGGCATTTGTTGAATAACCTTCCCACAGGAGAAGTTTCTTCCCAACTTCCTTAGAGAGAAGTTGGATTCTGCCTCGAAGCAGAAATACTCAGTGTCTGAGAATAAGATGCTCACACATTTTAGAAAATTATATCTTCATTTTGGAGGCTGTCAGATTTTTTACTACAAATGGGGCCTAAGCCTCAAAGTTTAGAGGTGTATTGTCCTGGTATTTTAGTTTGGACTACTCTAATTTTGAAGGGAAAATACCCCTTTTAATTTACTATCCGATTCAACTTGTAAGTACTACGTGTACATTACACAAACTATAAAGTGAAAATATTCACAAGGGCATAAGGCCAAATCATGCAATCCTTAAACTGGCAAAACTCCCAATGAAGTCAATGAAAGTTTTGCTTGAGAGTAAGGACTACAGGGTAGGCCCAAAATAATCTCTTGAAGTACTCTAGTGTGTAATATATAATACTAGTTGTGAATGGGCTTGTGTATTTAAAATATTCATATGGCTCTATTGTAATCTCAAATATGTGGGTGTTGATTGCCAGTTACCTTGAAAAATCTGCTACTGTGCTGCAATAGAACATATGACAGCACTTCTCCCCCACCCCCCAGACAGTCAGCAATGTGCACCTAAATATTTGAAATTAGAGTAGCAATTAAGGTTATGCTCCACTTTTATACATGCTCAACATTACTAACTTAGAGCTACAATATGGAATGCTATACACTTAATATAAGAGTTGGCTCATTTAAAATTCCCTGGTAATGTATATCAAGTAATATGATAGTTCAATGAAAGCCTTACAGAAGAAGCCTCATTAACAAGATTTGGAAGTATATATGCAATGATAAGGGGAAAGTTTTAATTGTTTCAATGGGCTGATTGTGTCTGAAACACCACCATAAATACCGTATGTTGCATACCATCTCTTGTTGTTATTTCAAAGACAAAATTCCATAATTACCAAATATTTCCCCACTATATTAGTGAAGCCCCCTCTCTATGTACATATGTACAAAGCAATTTAAAATATATAGGCCTTAATATGTCAGGGTTATCAAAACTGTAAACATACAGTGCAGTGCTGAATAATATATAAAGTAATGATCAACAGTCCCTTATAGGGAATACATTACATTATCTTGGCTACAAAATTTTCCCATAGGCTTTGACTTATATTTTATTATATTTATATGGCTCATGCCTGTTATTGATTAGTGCACAGACTATTTTGTGAGAGACGAAAAATTAATTGGTCATAAATCCATGAAAGTACTTATTAGCCAGATAAGCCTCAACAGTGCAATATTACACTATTATTTTATTGTTTTATGTAAATATAATTTCCAATAAGCTTTTTTTTAGATACACATTCTACCAATTTATTGAAAATGCCTCTCTACATTTTATCATATGGCTCAGAAAGTAGCTTAATGCAGCAATATGCTTCTTTTGTATTAATGTTGCAGTATAGTTGTTATGAGATCATAGTAGTCTTGCACCAATACTCCAAAATGAAAAACGATGTCTATTTTGTTCCACTGAAATTCTAGATTTGTACAAGTCTTGGGTGGTAGCATCCTCGTTGATGAGGTAAGCAATTTGCAGGGAAGGGAGGGGAAAAAAACCCAGAACCAGGTGACTTGGTGTTGCAGATACTCGCTGTACCATGCACGTGCACCCTGAACTCTAGGAACTTTGCAGAAACAGTGTTTCTCTGCAGAACATTCTGATCTGTAGTGCACAAATGCCTCGTTGGGAGATTAATGTAAAATGTACAAAAATCATTTATGCAGGTTTATTTGGAGCAGGAATATTTAAATTTTCAAAGTTAGGATGAGTAAAAATATCATCCCAGAGAGTTAGATGAATAGTTTGTAGACAAATGTGTGTGAGGCTCTGTACTGCACCTCAGATTTTCATTTCTCAAGTTTTTGGAGGACTGCGCTGTGAGTAGATTTCTTTCCATGTATGTATTCCTCATTTGATGATGCTTGGAAATAAATGCTTCTCATAGCAAACATATAACATTTTATTTTCCTCTTGCAATTTTTATTAAAACATGTTTTTAGGGATTTATTTGGCAAAACAAATTTTATAGCCAAAATTAACATGATTAAGGAATCTATCTGAATACTTTACATTTTTTCGTTGAATTTATTGTTTGTGGTGCAAATCAGGATACTGATAAACATTGTGTAATATGACCATGCTGTAGAGTTTTGTTTAAAAAATGCTGGGAAAGGTTGAGAATAATCTCTTCGCTTGACACCCTTATGCTATCTGCAATGCATCATTCTAGTAGAGGCTTAGGAGAGTTAACTGTTTCACATATTGTGTATTTTAAAATAACACATTCAGTAGTTCTCCTACTTGTTGGAGAGACAGCCCTAAAGTGGAAAAACAATTTTGATAATATCTCCTTGTCAATTAGTGATCAATCAAAAGCAAATAATCTTCAAATGGAAACATCCTGTACATTTCTTTTGTTCTGTATTTTGCAGGTATACTGGAATTTATCAGTATAGCAGTGGGCCTGGTCAGCATTCGAGGGGTAGACAGTGGACTCTATCTTGGAATGAATGAAAAAGGAGAACTGTATGGCTCGGTAAGTTCCTTACCAGTTTCAAAAATCATGCTCTCATCTGATTGCATTAATTATTATTAGTGTTACAGTAGCTCCCAGAAGCCCTAATGAGATCTGAGGTCCATTGTGCTAGGCATTGTACAAACCCATAGTCGCTGCTTTAAATATTTTACAATCTAACTTAAGACAAGATGGAGCAAGTCAATGTAATAAACAAGCGGGGAGGACAAGGGTAACAGTGGCAGGGAAGAGTGATTATGTAGACAGACTACAACTTTCAAGTTTTTTTTTTTTAAATGATAGTAGTCAGGAAGTTTTAATGTCCCTTGTTTATAAATGATCATGGCTAACAGGCCATTTACAGTAGGCATCGTAGTAGAAGTCGGTCATAAGGAGGGATTTTAGTTAGGACAAGGTGGCTGGTTTGTGGATATATTGGGGGAGCGGTTTTCAGGCATAAGGGATGTATGGAGAACCAGTGATAAAAGTTATCGTCCTTGGAAGGGGCAGCAGAAGTTCCAAGAATGGAGAGGTAGGGAGAGGCTAAATTATGCAGGGCCCCAAAAGCGAGGAAAAGAAGTTTGTTGTTCTTGTGTTTGAAAACTTGGCAAGATTGTGAGAGAGAGAGAGGGGCAGGGAGGGTTTGAGGAGGGAGGAAAAATGGTGTCTAGGGATTTCCAGCATGAGAGTCAGAATGAAGAAGTAGTGAAGGAGGGTGGCAGGACTGATGGAGAGAACATGAATAGATGAAAGTTGTGTAGTCACTGGGCTTTCTTCAGGGGCAGGAGGAATCAGATACTGGTGATGAGCAAGAGCTAGGGATTGCTGGGACAGGCCTTGCAATGAGAGGGAGAAAGGACTTGAAGGTGGTGGAGAGTTTGGCATGGCACTGAGGATGAGATAGGAGAGTCAGGAGTTAGTCAGTGAGAAAAGGGTTGGGGAAGAGTGAGGTGGGTAGTAGATGACAGCTACAGGGAGGGGATAGGTGAGAAGTGTCGGAGGAAATGTTGTTTGAAGGAGCGAGGGAGGGGCTGTGAGCACAAAGAGCGGGAGAGGAGAAGTCCAGTGCCCCCAACATATGTTCCATTGGGGATGATTTGGGGTGGGGAGTGCGTAGAAAAGGAGAAGCTTCCACATGAGCAGCAGAGCAGTTTCCAAGGGAGATCCAGGTTTCATCCTCTGTCCTCTGACACCATTCTCCATGAGAGCAGGGAGATAGATAGAGGAGTCAGGGATGACTGCCCTTTTTTTGGAGATGGAGCAGGATGAGAGAAGTGGGGCTTGAGGGGTGTGGGAGGAGAGTCCAGAAGGACAGAGGTGATTAAATGGGCGATCTTAAGAAATAATTATTGTGCAATTGATCAATAGTCCAAAGAACCAGTTAACTTATGAAGCAGTTATATGGCTGAATTATGCAGAGAAACAACAGTAATATTACTGATTTTCAGTTCATGAGGTGAATCATTTAAGCAGATAAACATATGTCCAATGAACCAATTAAATTATGCTACACTTTCCAGATTTTATTTAAAGCAAATATCTAAGGATAACAAAAGGAAAATAATTTTAAAATGACTCCTTTTTACTGATGAGGCTTTAATAAATGGATTTGGGAAGTTAATTTTAGTAATGTGACAGAACTTTTCCATGTTAGGTTTGTATTATAATGTCACACTGAACTAGTGAAAATATTCCTTGTTAAACGTTTCTTCAAAGTTATATTTTAAAAAATGGAGCCCTTCAGATTGGATGATTGCCAGACTGGGGAGTTCCATTTTTAAATGCATGACAAGAGATTGCCTGTCCTCATACTACAGAGATGCAGCATACCAAAGATTGATGATAATCAAATTGTATTACTTTCAATGAAACATAAGATCTAATGGCTACTCAGTGTTATGATACTCAAAAGCCTTGTCAACACTAGCAAAATTAGTACCCATATTTCAGCTACTGTGCAAATGCTAGTGGACACAGGGCTCAAAGCAGGTTTTTATGACAGTGTCAAAAGTACCTAGTCTACATTAGTGTAATAGGATCAGAGCAGGTGCATTTCTGCTGGTTGTTACTGTTAACAGGTACTAACTTTGCTAGTGTAGATGCAGTGAGAGGGAAGAATATGTATTTACATTGAAATATCTCTGGATGAACATTATAAAAGGTGTGAAGTGTGTCCAATACTTCCAAATCAACTGCCTTAAGGCACATATCCTCCCTTTTTTGTGTTAAAAGGCATGGAATTTGAGGCCTTATCCTGAGATATCTTTAGCACCATTGGAGATGGGACAGGTGGCAGAGTAGAACACTCAGGGTATGTGACTACTGACAATTCTCACAGAAGGCAAGAAATTGCTGGGAACAACAGTGTCAGTTTTGGCAAATCTTGACCCCCCCTGGCTTTCCTAAAGCACAGCCTCTTAGGTAGATCCCCACTAGCTGTTTGTCCTCCCCTCTTCACAATATGTAAGCTTCAAAAGGAGGAGCTCCTCCATCATCATCATAACATTTAAAATCTTAAATGCCTGTAAAATGATTTTTCTTTGTAACAAGCTGCTCTCAGGTAGGAACATGCTATGTAGAGTGGCTGTTTTCAGAGTCCTCGTCTCTACCCCCATGTTCTGGCCTTGACCATGCAAAACTGAGTATTTGTGTTGCATCCGTGGAGAGGCCAGAGGTAGTTCTCTGTGGCCATAATTGGGAGGCTGCTTTGTAGTAACTTTTCCTTCTGTGCAGCTACTTTGTCCCTTCCACTCATGTTGACTCCCCTATGATTCCCCTTCACCATAGAGCACATGCAACAGGATGAGATTTAATATAGATATAAGTGAAGTTTTGATACTGGAAGAGGAAATGAATATCTGTGTTTCAGTCTGTAAATTATTTGTCTAGAAAATAGCTAATTTGATTAAGACCTACATGAAATAATCTATAGAAAACTAAGCATGACCTTGCACGACAAAAGCACTGTGTGTGTTTGAAGAGACATATATTATAGTGTGGGTGTATTGCTTAGGAAGGTAATAATACCTTGCTACAGCATCTTGTCAGGACTTCATCTGTGTTATTATATGCGCTTCTGGTTTGTTCCTGTAAATTTGCAAGGACATATATAAGAAATCCAAAGATTGGCAAATAAGACATTTTGAGAAGAGACATTTTCATAGTCCACAGAAAATAACTTGGTGTAGGTAAGAGGGCATAATGTCACATTCCATAAATACCTTTCAGACTACAATGTAAATAAAAGAAGAGAATTATTTGGTCTCTCAAATGGTAGGACAAGGAGCAAGGAAACTAAGTGAGAAAAAGTTTAGGCTATATGTTAGGGGAAAAAAGATCTTAAGAGCAATTGGGCTAGGTAAGTAGTCAAAACATCACTGCAGATATGTAAGAACAGGACAGAAAAAACACTATTGGAAAATAATGTCACCTTGCAATAACACTTAGCATCTTTGATCCTGAAAAATCCCAAATACCTTAGAATCCACTTCCCTTCACCACCACTGTGAGATCAGCCTCTCCTGGGAGGGGGAGCAGGGAAGTCTTTAGGTACCAACCTCATTGCACAGCATAATGGCCCATCAAGCCCAGTATTCTGCCTTCTGGCAGTGGCCAATGCCAGGTGCTTCAAAGGGAATGAATAGAACAGACAATCATCAAGTGATCCATCCCCTGTCATCCAGTCCCAGATTCTGGCAATCAGAGCATGGGGTTGCATCCCCATCCATCTTGGCTAATAGCCATTGACGAACCTATAGTCCATGAAATTATCTAGTTCTTTTTTGAACCCTGTTGTAGTTTTGGCCTTCATAACATCCCCAGGCAATTAGTTCCACAAGTTGACTGTGTGTTGTTTGAAGAAGTACTTCCTTTTGTTTGTTTTAAACCTACTGCCTATTCATTTCATTGGGTGACCCCTTGTTCTTGTGTTATGTGAAGGAGTAAATAACACTTCCTTATTCACTTTCTCCACACCAGTGATGATTTTATAGACTTCTATCATTTTCCCCCTTAGTTGTCTCTTTTCCAAGATGAACAGTCCTAGTCTTTTTAATCTCCCCTCATATAGAATCTGTTCCATACCCCTAATCATTTTTGTTGCCCTTCTCTGTACCGTTTCCAATTCTAATATATCTTTTTTTATTTTATTTTATTTTATTTATTTATTTATTTTTTATGATGGGGTGACCAGAACTACATGCAGTATTCATGGTGTGGGCACACCATAGATTTATCTAATGGCATTATAATCTTTTCTGTCTTATTATCTATCCCTTTCCTAATGGTTCCTAACATTCTGTTAGCCTTTTTTGACTGCCACTGCACTTTGAGCAGATGTTTTCAGAGATCTATCCACAGTAACTCCAAGATTCCTTTGTTGAGTGGAAACAGTTAATTTAGATCCTATCATTTTGTATGTATTTGTATCATCATTTGTATGTAGTTCCAATGTGCATTACTTTGCATTTATCAACATTGAATTTCATCTGCCATTTTTGATGCCCAGTCTCTCAGTTTTGAGACATCCCTTTGCAACTGTTTGCAGTCAGCTTTGGACTTAACTATCTTGAGTAATTTTGTATCATCTGCACACTTTGCCACCTTTTTTACCCCTTTTTCCAGATCATTTATGAATATGTTGAACTGCACTGGTCCCAGTAGAGATCCCTGGGGGATACCACTATTTACCTCTCTCCATTTTGAAAACTGACCATTTATTCCTACCCTTAGTTTTCCATTTTTTAACCAGTTACTGATCCATCCACCTTCCCACTTATCCTATGACTGCTTACTTTGCTTAAGAGCCTTTGTTGAGGGACCTTGTCAAAAGCTTTCTGAAAGTCCAAGTACACTATATCCACTGGATCACCCTTGTCCAAATGTTTGTTGACCCCCCCAAAAGAATTCTAATGGAATTGGTGAGGCATGATTTCCCCTTACAAAAGCTATGTTGACTCTTCCCTCAACTAATCGTGTTCATCTGTGTGTCTGATAAGTCTGTTCTTTACTATAGTTTCAAC